ACTATCACGTTACGCGGGTTACGTGTTTTTGCGTGGTTCTAGAATTTTCAAACGTCAATGTTTCATATTGTTGACCGATCTTTGAAGTTGACCTGACCTTCAGTCAACGTGAATACTATTTCTTATCATTGTAAAGATTCTCGACTAAATCTGAAGTTGAAAATCTTGATTAGATGGCGATTGAATCAAATTACAGCTTCTTTATCTCCGGAGAGCTAGAGAATTTCTTCTTCAGTTGGGCGAAGTGTAAATAATTTGGCGGTCATCGCGATCTGGTGAACAACACTATACTCTGCTTCTTTGTTTTCCTATTTACGTACGCTTGTGCGATTTCAGAGGTAAACAGATTACTTTCGTAACCTTCTCGTCACGCAACTTTGAAAAATAAGCTCTAGTTTTAAGTATAAATGTTACGGTACACGTAGCGGTCATGTGGTTGAATTTCTTCAGTAGTTGAATCTACTGAAACTTTAATGGAATTCCCACTGTCGCTTTGCGAACCGCATCGTAGTAAACTTGAACAAAAAAGACTTCTCGTTCAAGAACTTCAACTTGCCAGTGGAAAAGTTCGTGACTTTGCCGATAGTATCTTTGGTTTAGGCATGCGTGAGATGAAACTTTATCGATATTTCCGTAGTCAATCAATTCGGGTCAAGTGCAGGCGACAACACTGACTCACGAAACCAAAACAACCAAAGTCTACGGGAGAGGTCTTTCTCGTTTCAATGCCTGGAATGATAGTGATCACGGACTAAAAATATTACTGAGAGGTATGTTGTGATAAGGCAACAATGCTTTTGCACTGTTTTTAAACTGAAAGAAATTGCTTGGCTTACGTATACAACACTTGGTTGTTGTGAAAGGCGCCAACATGGCTGCCACGTTTTCTGGAGCTCTTCGCCTATCTACCATTTTTGGTGTTCTTTTCGTTTTAAATGCTGCCCAAGAATGCTACAATTGTCACTATAGGAGGGCTGAAAGTCCTTGGCTTTTCAAACATATTTTATCCAAGTTTACTACTCCTAAATTTAGAGTTCGCCGGCCGGTGGTGTTGTGGGGCGTCCATGGTCTAACCTTGCTTGCAGTACCGGAGAAATATATCACGCTAGATATCACTATAGATATGGACGTAGAGTCACAACCGGGTCCAGAGATAGACAGGAGTTTCGGAGGAGTTAATAAGAACTACCCGATGTTAATGCGAACTAAGCCAGCGTCTTTGAAATGCTCTGAACTCTTGTCTCTCCGAAACAAAGCTTTCAAGCCATCTCCGGCCGTTCTATCTCAGTTCAAGTCACTCGGCATTCTGAAATACCGTGGGCAACATAGTGCTCGAATCTCACGATCCATCTCAACCAAGAAAATCCCGGTGATGCAAGGCCGCCGTTTCATCAAGGCTGAAGGTCAGAAAGTGGATCGGAGTAACTTAATTGACATTCCGCGTGTCAACACAACCGACAAAACATCCACCTCTAAATCAAAGGGTTTCGCTGTCCCAAAATGTTTGTTTACGAACATTTGTGGTTTGTCGAAAACAAAAATCGTGTACGAGCACCTGTGGCGCTTGAGGCTGACCTGAGATCTCAGGATATTGATGTGTGTATTGTCAGTGAAACTCATCTTTCCACTAATATGCCGGACGCCGTGGTGAATATCCCAAATTACAATGTGTTCAGGCGGGACAGAGGTTGGGCAGACTTGGACAAAAGGAAAAAAAGGGGGTGTTGCGATCTATGTGAGAGACAGTCTTAAAGTCTTGGATGTCTATCGGTCCAATTTATATGAATTTATTGCTTTAACAGTGCAGTTGCCGTCCGATCACATTATGCTAATTTGCGGCCTGTATAATCCTCCCAAGCATAGCTACCGGGATCTCGACTTGATTAATTATATAATATCCTTTGTGGACATTGTGTTGAACAAACACCCAGAAGCGGCTATTGTCTGTGGTGGCGATGTAAATCGTTTGGATATGCAAGAATTTAAGGCTTTGTCTGGCTGGGATTTCGTGGTTGATTTTCCCACGCGGGGTAACGCGTGCTTGGATAACTGTATGACCAACCGAGCGGATCTGTTCGGTCAAGCATATTCCATACATATGCTTATTGAGACAGACCATGAGGGCTTTGTTTTACCGGCGGGATTAAAGCTTAAACCTATGCGCCGCAAAGTTCTCGTGCGGGACTGTAGGGAACATCGGAAACAGTCATTTTATATGGCACTCACTGCGCTGGACTGGAGTGACGTCCTCAATGAGGTGGACATAAACAAGGCGGTCGAGGTGCTTGAGGTAAAGATTCGTGCAGTGATGAATAAGTTTATGCCGCAAAAATCTGTACGCATGTCATCGCGTGACCCAGTTTGGATGTCCCCATTAGTCAAGTGTATGCTGAGGACTAAGTCCCATATATCTTTAAAGAATAAGGAACGCCTGTCTTTATTTAATAAGCGCATTTCTGAGCTGATAACCGAGAACAGAAGAAAACTGGCTGCCATTGGTAGCGGTGAGTGGTGGAAGGGCGTGGACGCCCTATCGCAGCGTCGCAGGTCATCGTTGATAAATTTGGACAAGAACTCTCTAGTTCGTCTGAACGACTACTTCGCCAACCTGTGCTATGATGACACTTACGTTAGACCTAGTGATATGGATATCCCGGACAGTGTAAAGCCCCCGAAAATATCTGAGCGGTGTGTCTGGAATACCTTAGTTCATGTAAAGAAAACCGCAACGGGACCAGACGACCTCCCGTACTGGATCTGGAAAGACTGTGCTGAGCTACTCACACCAATCGTCACTCACGTTTGGAATCTGTCGCTGTCTACTCATACATGGCCAGACTCCTGGAAAAGGGCAAATGTTAACCCTCTCCCCAAAGTGAACATGCCTATAGAGGACTCGGACTACCGTGGTATTAATGTTACTCCCGTTATTGCCCGGTTGTTTGAGAAGGTCGTGTATCGTACACAAGCACAGTCAGTCATTGAGAGCAACCTGAGCCACACCCAATTTGCATATAGACAGGCGGGTAGTTGCACAAATGCCTTGCTCGCTATCCAGCACCAGACATACAAGTATTTAGATAGTAGTGACTATAGCGCAGTGCGAATTTTTACCATGGACTTCAGTAAGGCTTTCGATTTTGTGAACCATGCTATTTTGTCTGCCAAACTGAAACAGCTACCTCTAAATCCGTACATTATCAATTGGTATCATAGTTTCCTCTATGCAAGACAACAGCGTGTTGTTAGTTATAATTTTTTAGACAGTGGAAACTTGACAATAGAGGAACCACACAAGGTAGTGTAAGCGGACCGTATCTTTTTAATATATTTTTGAACGATTTGGAGATTTTTTTTTTAATGGTTGCCCTGTGCTTTTAAATATGCCGATGATTCCACTATTCTTTCGCCTATCACTAAGAATAGTGACCCGTCTGCCGACTTAGTAGGACAGTTCTTAACATGGTGTAAAGACAATAGAATGGTCTGCAACCCTTACAAATGTAAAGAGCTGGTTGTTAGAAAGAAAAATCATAATGTACTCTACTCTCCAATTAATAATATTCCCCAATGTAATAGCTTCGTTTTATTAGGAGTAACTTTACAGAGTGATGGAAAATTTGATGAGCATGTAAGAACTAAGCTTGTCAAAGCAAACAAGTGTTTACACGTCCTACGAACATTGAGAAAGGAACATTACTCTCAGGCAGAGATTGATCATCTTTTTATATCGATTGTTTTGGCTAATTTTAGCTATGCACTTTCAGTCTATGGGGCATCTGAGTCCGATCTTACGGTTGTACAAAAATTTTTAGACCGATGTCATGAACGCGGTTTTATCTCATTTCCAGTTTTTATCAAGAACCTTTTAAACAAACAAGACAGAAACATTTTGAAGAAACTAAAATCAACGGATTGCCACCCCCTGAAAGATATCATTCCTGTCCAAAAGACATATCTACACAATCTCAGGAAAAAAGGCTGCGCGCGCCCGAAAATTAATACACAGCGCTTTATGAACACATTTGTAAATAGGTTGATATTTAAGCTCCATTTATTGTGATGATATACTTTTTAATTCATAATATGTATGTAGATTTCTGTAGTTTTTTCAATTCATTGTAACATAAGATATGTAGTTTTATCTTATGATGGAATAAAGACATTATATTCCATTCTGCGCATAAACTTTTAAAATTAGCGACCATCCGCGATTACGCAACGAGGTGCCCTGTTACCCGGCGATAAACCATTTAATAGAATGGGGTTGTTAAGTATTATCAACTGAGTTGGTAACGTAAACTGGCCACCGTAAAGAGTTTTAAAGTTGACGTTTCGAGCGTTAGCCCTTCGACAATCGCTCTGACGAAAGGCTAACGCTCGCAACGTCAGCTTTTTAAGTCTTAACGGTGGCCAATTCACGTTATCAACTCAGTCAGTGACACTTAATTACACTGTTATACTCTTCTACCGACGCAGCTCCACAGTTTCTTTAGAAACGTACCCTCTTTTTTCACTGAATAGAATAGCCGCCTTCACCTGAACGAGCTCATCGCCTCATCTTGTTTTGAAAATAATATGTTCATCCTTTCATTATCTCTCGCTGTGTTGTAACACTATAAACGACGGTTTTGTGACAAATTAAAGGTTGCAAAGATAAAACAATTGTCTTAAAGTGAGAGGATCATTCTGCACATTTTGGGATCAAGAATAAGTTCCCCACGAGATGAAGGCGAATGGGGGAAGGGAGGGTAGGAAGTAAGGTAGCAGATTCAGTTTTTACTTCTTATAGTTATCGAACTAGGCCATTTGCTAAGTTATTTACCAAAAAAAAATCAGTGCAAATGTTGTCATATTTTAATCTACTACATTTTCAAAGTTATCAATTCATTACAAATCAAACAATGTCTCATAACTAAAAAGTCTCCCAGCCGTATCACAAGACAACACCAAAACAAAAAAAGCAACTAATAAGGATTTAGCCATGGAGAACAATCAGCCATGTGGTGTGATCATCCAAATGACAGTTGACACTTTTCAAAGACCAGAATTGAACTTACAATTTTTCCCTTGATTATTAGGATAACTTCTGTTCATGTCTTTGAAACCAAAGCCAATGTCACATACAAGACTTGGGACTACTTCCATTCGAATGATCAAAACATATGGTCATCTGTCACTTTTAAGTTCCAACAATGTATAACGATAAAAAATATAGAGTATAGTCGCAATGATATAGTAGCCTCAATGATGTAATGGCCTGCGTAATATCGGTATTTGTTATTCTAAAACTTGACACAGGTTCCACTTTGAAATAGAATGCTACATCAGCTGCATATCTTTGATAAATACTGATACTAAAGTTTAGAAATGAATAACGAGTATATAACTGAATTATATGGGAATGTTAAAACACCCAAACACACTATTCTACATTGAATTTGGTGATAACAAATAACAGTGTACTGCAGTTCTCATGTTAAAATATGCATTTCATTAAAAAATCATAACACACTTATGATGCAAAGTTCCAGAGTACCAGGTTAAAGGGGTTTTTGAAAGAGCTCTTGTTTCCTCATTGGGACATCTTTAACCCTCCAACTCCCATAAGTGACCAAGACAGAATTTCTCCTTACAGTATCAATACAATATCAAACAGACAAGTGATGAGAATAAAGAAAAATATCAACAAGGGAAATATTGGTTGATCCAATACCAAATTCTCTAAATTAACATCAAAAGAGTTGTATGGCAGACAGTAAGGAGAATTACTGGTGAGATCTTGGGAGTGAAAGGGTTAAAGCTCTACATTTGAGTTCATATAGGGTTGAATTAAATAAATTACCACTCGATGACAGAAGCCTGAAGGGTGAAAAATTTTAACTCAAATTTGTGATGACATCGTGTGCAAATGAGCTATTTTAAATAATTATAATTTGCCGCCAAGAGGTGTCAGAAATGCCTGCTTAGATTTGTTCCTTCAAAAAAATTGTCTCTCGCGGTATTATGAATTAGTTATTGTCCAGTCTTGCGCATTCAATATTGTAAAATTTGATCAATCTTTTTTTGACGGGTTATGAACCTGAAAAACGTTTTGGTCCATAAAGACCCCAATATTCATTTTTATATTTTATCAATCAACTCTTCTGGCTTTGCGTCATTATTCGTTCTCCGAAAAATAAACACATTTCTGGCCTTATAATGAATAAATCGTTTACCAGTACTGTGTGCTCAATATTGTCACTCGAGATTATACAAGTCTAATTGAAAGCAAAAGAAAAAAGAAAAAACACCTATAGTCAGTCAAATAAGCTTGACTTTGCGCTTCTTCAATAACGAACATATTTTCCGCCAAGAAAGCTTTGTATCTTCGTCTCACCAACTAAAATCCTTCGCAAAGAATGTTGTAAAACTGGTAATATAGGTAGGTTTTAAATTTCTATAACTACTCAGCTTTTTGGCGAATGCAGTCTATATTATGTGAGTAAAAGTAACAGTTACTTCAAAATTCATCGTTCGTGAGCATGCATCCCGGTAAAACTCGTGCGGTTTACAGCGGTGGTCATTCGGGGCCCTTAAATTGAGAATAAGAAATAGACTAATGTCCTCCCTTGCTAAGTAGGAAGTTTACGGCCTCAATTTGACCAAATTGTTCTGCGATATTAAACGGTGTGCGATCCATCACATCCTTTGAATTAACATCCAAACCAAGTGACAGCATTTTTGTGATGATGGCGACATTACCGCCCTTTGAGGCGGCGTGCAGTAAATTTCTACCTAACTGGTCTCTAATAAAGGGATCAGCTCCCTTGTCTAAAAGACAATTCACAGCCTCAATGTTGCCAAGTCCTGCAGCCAACATCAATGGCGTACTGTCATTAGTGGGCAGTTTTGAATCGACATCTAGACCACGTGACATTACTGTCTCAATGAGGGCGACATTATCACCCTCTGAAGCGACATGCAGTGAATTTCTTCCAGACTGGTCTCTAATATATATATCGGCTCCCTTTTCTAGAAAAAAATTTACAGCTTCAATTTTGCCACGCGCAGCAGCTAACATCAATGGTGTTTTTCCTTCACCATCTTTTGAATCGACATCAAGACCACGTGACATTAGTGTCTCAATGATTGCGACATTACCACCCTCTGAAGCGGCGTGCAGTGAATTTCTTCCAAACTGATCTCTAATATAGGGATCGGCTCCCTGGTCTAAAAGATAATTTACAGCTTCAATCTTGCTACTCGCTGCAGCCATCATCAATGGTGTAATGCCACTATTATTTTTCGGATCAACACTCAGACCACGTGACATTAGTGTCTCGACGACGGCGACATTACCACCCTCTGAAGCGGCGTGCAGTGAATTTCTTTCTAACTGGTCTCTAATATAGGGATCGGCTCCCTTGTCTAAAAGATAATTTACAGCTTCAATTTTGCCAAACGCTGCAGCCAACATAAATGGTGTACTGCCTCTATTATCTTTTGAATCTACATCTGGGCCATGTAACATTACTGTCTCAATGATGGCGACATTACCACCCTCTGAAGCGGCGTGCAGTGAATTTCTTCCAAATTGGTCTCCAATAAAGGGATCGGCTCCCTTGTCTAAAAGATAATTTACAGCTTCAATCTTGCCAAACTCTGCAGCCAACATCAATGGTGTACTGCCGTCATTATCTTTTATATCGACATCTAGACCATGTGACATTATTGTCGTGATGATTAAGACATTACCGCCTTCTGAAGCGGCGTGTAGTGAATTTCTTCCTAACTGGTCTCTAAAATAGGGATCGGCTCCCTTGTTCAAAAGATAATTTACAGCTTCAATTTTGCCAAACGCTGCAGCCAACATCAATGGTGTACTTCCTCTATTATCTTTTAGATCGACATCTAGACCACGTGACATTAGTGCCTCGATGGTTGCGACATTATCACTCCGTGAAGCGAAGTGCAGTGAATTTCTTCCTAACTGATCTCTAATAAAGAGATCGGCTCCTTTGTCTAAAAGATAATTTACAGCTTCAATCTTGCCAAACTCTGCAGCCACCATCAATGGTGTAATGCCTGTATTACCTTTTGAATTGACATCTAGACCACGTGACATTACCATCTCGATGATTGCAACATTACCATCCTTTGAAGCGGCGTGTAGCGGATTAATGCCAGAGTGGCCTTCAATAAAGGGATCAGCTCCCTTCTCTAAGAGATACTTTACGGCATCTCTTTTGCCAGTCGAAGCAGCTGAAATCAAAGCCGTGTTGCCATCATTATTTTTTGTGTTGATATCCAAGCCACGTGACAACATATCCTCGATGATGGCAAAGTTGCCAGTCCGCACAGCTGATGGCAGTGAGTTCCAATCGTCGCCTGTTACCGTCTCAGTGTCCAGTTTACCTAAAGAAAAAAATAAATGAAAAATAAAATTTCATAGCAAAATGGTTATATCTTTCGGTATTTTGTAATAATAGGAACGTTTTTACTCAATATATAAAAACAGACAGTCAAAGATTACATGTGGCTTCTGATATAACACAATTTTTGTAGCACTGGAAAGTACTAGAGATTGTATAATGCAGCGAGAATGTAGTTTCGCAGGGGCTAGCTCGAAAGCCTCATGGTTCCACTATCCTCTGGGCCCCAACAATGTTACCTAAGCTTCTTTTAATTTTCTTATTTTATTGCAATTTTACTTTTTTTGGACAATTTTTGCATGCAAAACGGCATTCCGCGATTTAGGATATTCTGTCATTCCGCGTCTTAAGATATTCCGCCGTTCCACCGATCCACCATTTCTCTTTTACATTATTCTGTTATATAATTCAAGGTATCGTATTTCGCAGCTTGCTCGCTTCGCAAATTTAGCGGCTCTTTTCGGCATAATAGTAATAATAATAATAATAATAATAATAATGATGATGATAATAATAATACTTAACAAGATAATTTGGTATTATCAACTGAGTTGATGAGTTCAACGTAAATTGGCCATCGTGAGGGGTTTCAAAGCAGACGTTTCAAGCGTTAGCCCTTCGTGAGAGCGAATGGAGGAATTGAGGCTTGTGTGTGTGTTTATTTACAGAAAATGGAACAAGGCTTTAGGTGGGAATTTGTTACTAGAAAAACAAGAATAAATAAGTTGAATGAAAAGCGTTCGTTGATAACGTGGGGATAAAGAGTGCCGAAAGATAACTTTTTATTCTAGAGTTTTGCGGCATTCAAAAAGTAAACTGCACCTCCTATACATGACATTTCAAACACGGTTTCTTGCATTTTACGAATAATGATAACGGTTTTTTTTAGCTATCATTACAACAAGATCAAAAACTAAACAAAAACAGAAACTAAGCAAAAACAGAAACTAAGCATGGGTAACTTTGACTTTTCGATACTGACCACCGATATCCACATCTAATTCAGATGGTGCTCTTTCAGTTCCCATACCGCTGTCAGATGCTTCAGACATTAAACTTTTCGTCTCCAACGGTAAACTTTCCACGTACATTTTGGTTAAATTCCATTTGTGTTCGTCAATCCTCCATGGCTTGTCTCCGAGCCTTTCGTAACTGGCATTCTGAACTAAAGAAACATAAAGGAACAAAATATTTTGCCTAAAAACGTCATTTAAGAGTATGAATGCATTTATGCGTTGAGAAGCTTTTCGCAGGATGTTTCACAGTTTACAGTGGGAGCAGGTTGAATATAGAAAAATTTTAAGAAATAAAATTATGGCACTCCTCGTAAGCTTTTAGTGTTCGGTCGAGGTATAATCAAGAGAATACAAACTGTTCATAATCTCTTGGTATAATCTACTCGCGCTTTTATCTATTCAATCATCAAATTATTCGCGCAAATGAACATATCTAATTTGATATATTAAAAGGTTAGAATGTTTTAATACATTTAATACATCTCTGAGAAGCCTTTGTAAGCATGTGAGGAATGAAATCTCGAAAGGCCTTATCTGTTTTAAGAACAAGTCTCTGTAAGAATCAAACATCTTGGGAAATGAAAATTTTCAACCCCTTCTTCAAATTTTGCATGCTGTTAGGCACTCAGGGGGGATGCACAAAAATGCCCTTTTTAAAGGTCACAGAACTCTTGTTGCCATGGTAACAACAGCTGCTTGTTCGAGGCTTGAGGCCTCATTTTCATACAAAAACGTCGCAAAAAAGTATGAAAATGAGGCTCCGAACCTCGAACAAGCAGCCGTTGTTACCATGGCAACAAGAGTGCCGCGACCTTAAAAAGGGCATTTTTGTGCCTCCCCCCTGGGTGCCTAACTGCATGCAAAATTTGACGGGGGGTTGAAAATTCTCATTTCCCAAGATGTTTGATTCTTACAGAGACTTGTTCTTAATTCAGTTGTAAACAGTTCAAACGAATCTCAGATTTTCTTTCGTAGAAGGAATTTGGTTGTGACACGAAAAAGTTCACCTGGTTGAAGCTGCTTTGTATTCTTATGACCCCCCTCCCCTTGGCGGCAGTAAAATGGTAAATCATTTTCTACAGTACCCCCCCATTTTATACTCTGTTGGTTACGACTGATCCCCCATGAAAACCATGTGATCCCCTCAGAAAGTCCTCCACCAACTAAGAATAATCTTTCAGGTAAAATTCAGTCCGAAATCAATGCTAATGGTAGTTTTGATCAAGTTTTTTCACAATAATTTGTCAGTTATGGCATAAATTGGCGTTTTTTTTAAATCAGTTTTTATCATATCATACCTATGTATTTAGCAGTTAACCTGTATTAAGCGCCAACCCCGTCATTCCTCGCGGGTGACTGCTTAATAAAGGTTTGACTGTATATATTTCATTTAGCTTAACTTGAGTGTTTGCATGATTTAGTTACCTTCCTCTGCTGGAATTATTTCCGTGGCCTTCCTTCCGTGGTCTAAGAGCAAGAATTGATACTATTAAGTGCTACTTGTAAGTTTGTGTAGAGTAGTTCATCCCAGAGTAAAAAAAAATCAAGCTATTAGTATCAGTATGGACTGCACAGTACAACTACCGCTCAACTACTCATGAGGGAAACCGAAGTGAACCTAGAAATGGATAACTTGCTAAAATGGGTTCTTTTCAACATAGTAAGCGGTCAGATAACGAGCAATACACTGTGGAAGTAAGGTGAGGTATTTTTATTGAGAATTTGACTTGTATTTTATTCCTAAGAGCGGTCGTAAATATTCCCATACGAACATTTATAATTTCGCCATGACTCTTATTTTGCAAGATGATAATCTCACAGCTGGAGCTTGGGCCGCCTGCGTGTATTCTCATCAAAACTTACTAAATTTCAGTTAGTAAAAGACAAAGTTGACAGTGACAGCATTGCCTCTTACTTAGACACAATTCAAAATCGAGTGCAAGAGACCAAAGGGATGCTATTATCTTTAATAATAAACGAGAGCATCGCTCGCATCTTAATTAAACGCATCTTCTAAATGCTAAATACAGGGCTCGCAATATCAGCAGGACACCCAGAATAAATAAAATCAGTGAAGAATCTACCACCAATATAGCCCTTTATCCTCACATTAGCGATTTAACAAAATAACCGATAATATTTAACAGATGTTTCCAGAGAATTAGCAGATCTAATGAATAAAACTTAGTAACCGTTTTGTATCCAATGTATTGGTCAGTGGATTGAAGATTTGGCACCTAAAATATTACAGTTTTTACTTTATTTTTGGGTGTGATATTTCCTCTATATTAGAGACGATAGAGATATTCATTTACTTTTTAATTAGATTGTGACATTTTATCATTTACCATCCCTTCTCGCATAGTTAGAGAAACAAATCCTTTAATTGCATAGTTACCTTTCTCAAATTGAACCATTTGAGTCTCTACAGCTTCTATTCTTTCCTCCAGAGACTTGACTTGGTTCTTAAGTTGTGCTATTGTTGTCGGAGAATTTTCATCTGTTCTAGGTGGGAGAGATAACACTGAGTCGGAGTGCCTTCGAACACCTCGTTCCAAAGGTCGCCTCTGGTTACCTAACGGTGGCCAGACAATCATTTTGATTATTTGCAGATCTATTGTAGTTTTCATACCTGACACACACAGACACCCACGCACCCACCCACACACGATTAGGGAAAGATGCAGGATTTAGTGAAGGGGAGTTCAGATAAATGTCCACTGAAAGCGGACCATCCAAGAGCGGGCGGGGATATGCATCCCTCGCCGCTCTTGGATGAAATGGGATCAACAAGTAATATTTTCCTAGGGCATCCAATTTAAGGTTTCTGTGAAAAACTACAAGTGTTTTATCGTTTTCATTTCAGTTTAGGAGGTTCAGTCGAACCACCCGATCGAAAAACCCGGCGTAGATCCGCCAAAGAAATTCCTTACAAATTTGGACGCCATGGTTTGCAATTAAAGGAACTGAATTCTCTTCCATATTTTGTGTCCGATATTTCAGTGATTGAATATTAACCTGAATACCGAAAATAAAACAGGCTGTCAAAGTTTAATTCTCTCAATGGTAATACTTCGAAAATGAAAATTTAAAAATTTCCCAGCAACGATAACGTCGAGTCGAAAAAGGCCATGACCTTTTCCACAGTTAATTGTGTGGCCAAAAAAATATCCATATTTATCTGACTTACTTGAAACAGCCCTTGTTCATAAGTTAATTTGGTTGAAGCAGCAGCAAAGCTGTGCGATTAAACCTATTCTTCTTGTTATTGAACAGCTAAATTCCTACAGTTCAACGACCAAAACAAAATTAAGCGGGAAATATAATAAGCCAATGAGATTGACTAACCCAAGTTGGCAAATCAAAATGAAGAAGATTGCAAGTGCGTAGATTGCTCATGCATGCACTGCTTCAGCTTCAAAGAGGATATTTATCGCAATTGACTAGTCCAAGAAATAGGTTTTCCTTCGCTTTTTAATAACCTATGATATATTACTGTTAATCTATAAAGCAAAATTTGACAAAAAAGTTGTTTACGGATTGAGACAAAATAGAGCAATCCATACACCAATTTTTTTTTCAACTTGCTACTGAAGCAATGACCCCGGAGGAGATCGGCCTGCGAGGGTATAAAAGATGCAAAATAAAAACACCCCCAGTGTTTTTTATTTTAAACATATATCAACAAACGCCTTTGTTTTAATTAATATCCTTCTGCGCTCTTCAAATTCAGTTCGCTACACCTTCAGATAAAATTACTCACCGTCAGCTTCTTGAACAAGCTCAAAGTAAGCTTTCTCATATTCTTCTTTTTCAATCGTCACAGTCAATTCCACATTCTCTTCACCACCGGCACGGGTCTTCATCTCATCAGTCACAAAAAAATCGAATAGACGTTTCTTGAGCCCGCCATCCTCGTACATGTTCCACAAAGCAGTGAGTCCCATGAGATTGTCGACCTGAATTGTAAAGCATACGCACCCTTGACCCACTTCAATCAATCTTGAACCAGCAGGAAGCACACATTTCTGGAAGCTGGTGACTAACTGATCATAAGTTGGCCAGCGAGTCAAAATCTCATGGACAGTGAGTAAGGTTATTCCCGCTGCTGCCACTCCACACACTGTCTTCATGTTCAGTACTAAAACGAATAGCACTAAATTTAATTTTGAATGTTGATATTTCAATCACTTTTGGTGGTAAAAAAATTGGAAAAAAAGTGAGAGGTGTGGGAATATGACTGTCCAACATGGAAGGATTTTGTTTTGCATTGTTTTAATCTGATTACTTTTTCATTTTTGCGATTTACGAGAAAACATACCTTCCATGACAACCTGATCACAACGTTAAACCAAATTAATCGTAGTCCGATGCAAATGATGTCCGAATAAGTGTCTGTCTGTTTATGTTTTCTAAGAAGCAGACTATCCGAACATGGCAGGTAATTTAGTGTTAACAACTGGGTTGAAAACGTAAATTAGCCACAGTAAAGAGTAAAAAAAGCTGACGTTTCGAGCGTTAGCCCTTCGTCAGTAGCGATGACGAAGGGCTAACGCTCGAAACGTCAGCTTTTTTACTCTTTACGGTGGCTAATTTACGTCTTCAACCCAGTTGTTAACACTAAATTACCTGCTATACTCTCCCACCGACGCAGCACCACAGTTTCTCTAGAAACTTACCCCTTTATCCGAACATGGTTTACCTATGGTTTCATTTTTGGAGAATATGGCTGTGGAATCTTAGAAATCTCGCTCGAATGGTATTCTTTAGCTTTCAGCCAGCTACGCGCATGGACCAATCAGAAGCGAGCAAATAAACTGAAGGGATTATAACCGTCTCACAACAACTTTGCACCAGAAGAAAAACATCCATCAATAAAATGCTTCGCTTACATCATACCTAAATTTTAGGTGGACAATAAACAACTAGTGTTTGTTGATGGACGCTCCTGTAAAAACTTTAAAATATATTACTTATCCGTCTTGTCAATTCAGGGCGTGAAATTGCGCCTGATACAGGTGCCAATGCGACTAAATTTTTCACTTTGGCGACCAAATCCTGAAAATTAGTAGCCAAATTGGCGACTAGAATGTTTCATCATAAGCTTACCAAGAGATATAGAGAATTAAAAAGATTTGCAGCGATAAATCCGCGGCAAATTTCCTCGTTAAGTTTGTTTCCAAAACGCAGCACATGCATCTAGATCGATAACTAGACGCCATTTTGGATTTAGGTGAGCTTGAGCGTTGTATATCATCCATCCTAGTGTCCACTTTCTAGCATGTTAAAGACTTTTCCCTAACTTAATTTTGGAGGATCTATCTCAAACGCTAACAGCCTAAAAAAAGTTTTTTTTTGTCTTTGAAAATGGCGACCAATTATTTTTTTTGAATTGGCTACCACTTTGAAGAATTTAGGAGCCAAGTGGCTATCAGAAAAAAAATTAATTTCACGCCCTGTAATTTCCTTGCTGGCGAATTTTGGGGGCACGTCTCGGATTCAATGATCGCACAAATTGGAAACAACTTCGAGCGTATAACCCACAAACGCGAGCATGTTAACGAATACGCTAGATACCCACACTTTCTGATATCTCCGTAAAATAATTTTATGGTAGATCGTCGGAAATACATTACTGGTTTAGAGTGCTTCAGAACTTTGGTTTGTTCATGGAGTTTGGAACTCTTCCTTTCTTATGCTCAACAATTGAATCACACCAATTTTAACTCACCTCTTCCACCAACAACCCTGGCTGCAGCGACAATGCTACCGGCTTGGGCTTAAATTGTAAGATTCAAAAGCACATTGTTAGATTCAATGACAAACTAGGCAGGAGAATTATAATAAACTGACAGAGTTGGATTTAAATGTTGATTTCTGATCAATACAGCATATTATGGTCACTCGATGGATGCTATTTGAGCAAAGACTCTTAGATACTTTCCCGCAAAAAAATCGGCAAAATGAGAATTGCAGAGGACTAAATAATCGTTACCTTTCCTTCTTTCAAATTCATCCTCATCAATTCGTCGCTTCTCGAAACCCTGAACTTTCTTCACCAGATCTTGTCTCTCAATTCCCGATAAAATCCCTTTCAAGAAATCAAGGCGACTAAACGCAAAAATTCCTCGGCGTTCAAGTTTTTCGAACAAAATTCGAGCAGTTTGAGTGTTTCTTTCATTTTCCTCCAACGCTTCCCTCTCGGTGCAGACAGCAACCAGCTGCTGCAATTGATTGCTTTCGTCGAGAGCACGGCTGATCTGTTCAAGCAATTCTTTGTATTCTTTCCTTTTGTCCTCGAACTTTCTCACTTTCTGAAACAACGACCATTCTCCAACCGCTTTTAGCAGCTCTTTCCATAGCTCAACTTGATCAATGGCCAAATTATTTCGATCCTCTAGCTCTCGAAAGAGCGAAAGTGCATTTGGGATGTCTTCAGGTCTTGACGCCACAAGCCCTCTACACATCAAGAGTAAGTGTTCATGTTGGTTCAGTTGATCGAGTCGTTGGCTTATCTCAAAAAGAAGGTGATTATATTCTACGTAAGACATTTCAACTGTCGTTGCTATGCATCTAAAATACTAGCATTTCGATCGAGCGCAGATCGATTTTAGGCATTCCATGTAAATTTACAACATGGCGGAAGAGTTTCGTTCCATGTCACGCACAGTGGCTATGTTTACGCACGATCGGATATACGTCACACGTCATCACATTGGTCCACAGATAGATCTTGGATCGGACTTGGGACTGTGAAGTACTTACTCCGTTCATGAAGTCCCCTTTCGAGCCATAAAAAATTACTTAGCATACAATTACAGGTGTGAGATACGTCGTGCTTTTTATCAAAAAACAATTTCATAATCCATTCATAAATGAATAAATAAATAGTTTTAATTCAAAGAAATGCCGAGAAATTCTTAATTAAAAACTCTTTATTGGAAGACGGCTTTGATTTGCATTGACGATTGAATCAAAGCTCTATGTAAAGTTGAATATTAATCAACCAATGAAATCACTGAGGTGTTTTAGATTTTGTAAAGGGTGTCCCATGCATACATCATTTGGAGTACTAAGTTAAAAGGGAACAGCATATGATGCGTTAACTTAAAGTTTATGTCAATATCAGGTCAATCGAAAAAGAGTCTGTAGGACACCTAAGAAGTGGTTTCGGAAATGAGAAGCTAGAAAAGTGAAGGTTAAGGATGTGGAGTAAAAGACGACATCCACAAACTATAAGCTTAAAAGGGCAGATTTGGACTTTTTCCCTCGCATTAGTTCGCTGAGGTTAAAAGCCCCATTGGACGAGAATGTGCATTGAATTCACCGTATATGTGACCTATCTTTCCGCAAATTCAATTACTATTCAATTAACTGAGAGGCACTGAACACTTAGTCAAAATTAGGTTTGTTGCTAAGACTCGGAATTTTCTTGAAAGGGAGGAAAGCGTTTCTTAATCCCTTGCACCCTAATATCAGTCTTCATATTCTCCACACTGTTCTCTTTACATTTGCTAAGTGATGACAAGGAGAATTTCTCCAAAAATTAAGAGCTTCTTCAGTTAATGATCAATTTTCTTTATTTTCCTCAGGGGTGATATTGTAAGGAGAAATTAGATGCTTGTCACTCTTTGGGGTCTTTCTTTGACAGAAAAAAAAAACCGGATCATCAACGAATCCCTACTCCTATCGCAGAATTTGGCTGACTCGCTTCATTTGGGTATTCACACATTTGTTTTATTTATTGTGGTTGGTTTTAGTGTGGAATTAGTCAAAACGTTCCCCCCGGAACCACAGTTGATGTTGGTATAACTCACCCCACTGAGTTTGACTTCTACCTCTGCAGTCACGCTGGAATTCAGGTAAGGCTTTGTCACTCTCTAATTCTCAGGGCTGAGTAACATAAAACCTCTCCCCAGAGTTTTGTTAAACATAAAGCAAACAGTTGGTGAGAATACTTACACATTGTATCAGTTGGTCCTGATGGGAATTTGATGGAACACTAGATTCTCTTGACAAATTTACAATGAAGTTTGAATCAGCTGGTAGGGAGAATCAACAATCACATCTTGGGAATTTACTACGTACCTAGATGCCTCGCGGAAATCGAGGATTTACCGGTGTCTGGGAAGACCGAATGATTTCAAAAAGGGATTAGAAGACGAATCAAAAATTCCGATCATTCTTTGAGAGTTTTCTGACCTCTCCTCCCTTTAGCGGGGGGATTTCTAAGCTCCGTAGCACGCCCGACCCATGCCATTTGTATTTTATGGCCTTTCTTTTCAAAAGGAAAAGTCTAGATACAACAGATGGTTACACAGCTGCTGGACTCTCACTTTCCGTAGCATGAAGCGACCTAGAGTATCACCACTCCCCCTGGTTGGGATGCTATCTTAGTTTGCCCTCATTAATATTTTTCTTTATTCTCATCACTTGTCTGCTTGATATTATAGTGATATGGTAAGGAGAAATTCTGTCTTGGTCACTCGTGGGAGTTAAAGGTTTAAATAAACTCATTTAATTTGACCTTATCTTCGGTCAGTGTGGCGGACGAGGTAAAGAGGTGCTATGTAAACATGCCACCCATCTCGTATTCCTCAGTCATATTTTTACTTTTGAACTGCGCATTGTCAGGAAGATAAAACTAATTACAGGAATGACATCCTAAGTTCGCGACCTACAGATAAATTTTTAAACCTTACCTTTTTCGGTCATTGCAATCAAAGGGATTTTATGGTCGAAAGAAGATTACATTTTTCATGAATAATCCTAACTCCTCTAGACTTTTCCAAAAGTTAAATACTTTTATTCAAATTTATTGGTCTGACAGTAAAAGGCGCTTATTTCCCTCTTAAAAGCTTGAATATTGAAAGTAATCACGTTCTACGATTAATTATCTCGAAGGTCACTTTAATGAAAAGGCTGTACAAAGAAAAGCGCAACAATTTCATGAGAGTTTATATTTGTGTTCCTTGAACGACTGAATAAATAATGTTTTAACCTTGATTTGCGACACAGAAATTTTTAATATTTTTCCCTGAGATTTTAAAAAATGTCTTGTCATTATCATGATTACAATATTGTTTCAAACCTTATCAGTAGTCTTAGAGTATACTTACACTTGTAAAGAATTAAACTTGAATACTTACATGCTTGAATGTTTAGATCATTTACTGAAGTATTAATGTCACTTAAAGTATTACTGGTACTTCGGTAAATTGACTGCCTCAGCTGTCAGTAAGGCCGTGAGCCAAGCGTTTCTGACTTCTGTCGACGAGAATCTCAACATTCTAATACTCCCATCGACGTGGAAAATCTTATTGCTTTTAGAGTTCTGAACAGTCAAAGACGTAACACTGGACATCATTACGATCTCGGAGAACACCAACACTTCTTTCGTTTTCTCATAACAGTATAGCTTATCTTCCAACAGTACAAAGCGTCTCTTATACCAACGTAGTCTTCCAACCGGCGCGAGGGTTTTTTAGGCGATTAATGCCAAATTCACTGTTTTACAGAAACGTGATTTGAGTTATAAACTGAAGTTAGTATCAAACGACGATTGGTAAAAAAAGGTTAGAATTTTTTAGGGCCTTAGCGTAAGAGAAAACCCAGATAAAATAAGACCTACCTTCTCTTCTTTCTCGAATCCTTTGTGGTTCGCTTCTCTTTGTTGATGACCTCTTTTCAGTCTGTTTTCAGGAGCATCTTTGCATTTCCTCCTCGCGTTTCTCTTCGCTAGATATTCACCTTTTTACCAATGCCTATTTTTCTGTTCTCTTTCGCTTTCCTCTCGCCGTATTCTGCCTATTTTAGCGTCCTTAATTTCTAACTTTCTTGTGTGTTTTCTTCGACTCGATTTACACCTTTTACTTCTTGCCCTCTTTGGTCGCTCTGCCTCTTTCATTCCAGCCTATTTTCACACAAAACCTTCTCTCGACGAACTTGAATTATAACAGTTTCCTCAGGTTGAAAAGTTTTAGTTTTGCCGGTATTGTTGCCTTTCGAGTTAATTAGAAATTACAAAATGCTGAGAATTACCGTTCAACTACAACCTCCACAATTTGGTTTCCCGCTCAAAACGCGGGTTGCAAATTATTTGCATACGCGGCTTGACATTTACCAGCCCACGTGAAACCCTCATGTAATGCCTAACCGTGTGCCCACGGTACGCAGCACTAAAGGTCGGCACTCGTGTGTGCGCACTGTAGTATCATCTGCCGGTGTTTCCTGGCGCAGACTAATAGGGTATCCAAGTTGCGTACGCAATTGCGCCTGCACATTACCTTCTCCCTCACCCTTCCATTGCGTAATGGCTAAGATAGTGCCTGCAGTACAGTTGGCCGCGCATGCTAAAAATAGCACCTTGTAAGGACGCCCGTACGGTCGTAAGTCCAAATTTTTTGGGCTTGATGGGTTACTAATATTTTTTAATAATTATGGGGCTGCACTACGCGCGCTGCGAGCTCTGCTATAATAGCCAAAAAAAATTATTTGCGTTTCGGGTTAATTGCAGGTGACGGCATTGAATCACGAAACTTAAACTGAACTCAAGTCTACGAGAGAGGTCTTTCTCGTTTTAATGCCGGGAATGATAGTGCTCACAGACTAGAAATATTTCTGAGAAGCATGGGGGAGTATGGTTTATGGGAATGTTGTGATAAGTTAACAGTGCTTTTGCACTTTTTTTCAACTTGAAGCAATTCCTTGGCTTATCCATCCTATTCTGCGCACAAATTTCTAAAATTAGCAACCACCCGCGATTACGTAGCAAGGTGCCCTGTTATCGATAAACCATCTGATGGAATAGGGTAACTAAGTATTATCAACTGAGTCGATAACGTAAATTGGCCACCGTTATGAGTTTAAAAGCTGACGTTTCGAGCGTTAGCCCTTCGTCATTCGCTCTGACGAAGGGCTAACGCTCGAAACGTCAGCTTTTAAACTATTTACGGTGGCCAATTTACGTTATCAACTCAGTTGAAAGAACTTGATTACCCTGTTATACTCTCCCACAAACGCTGCTCCACAGTTTATTTTAGAGGCGTACCCCCCTTTATTCATTGAAAAGAATAGCCGCCTTCTCCTGAACGAGGTCATCGCCTTATCGTGTGTTGAAAATAATTCCATTCTTTTATTATCTCCCGTTGTGCTGTAAAACTACAAATAGACGGTTTTGTGAATCAAAGGTTGCAAAGATTAAACAATTGTCTTCATATGAGAGGACCATTAGATTATTCTCAAAAGCTTCCTTGCATATTTTGAGATCAAGAATAAGTTCCCCACGAATGGCGGGGGGGGGGAGGGGGAGAGAGAAGGGGGGAGGGGGTGGGGGAAGGGCTTGAACGAGAAGTAAAGTGGCAGTTACAATTTTTACCTCTTGCATTTATCGAACTAGGCCATTTACTAAGTTATTTACTATAAAAAAGAAGATCAATTTAAATGTTATGTTTTTAATCTACTACATTTTTAAAGTTTCCAATTCATTACAAATAAAACAGTGTCTCATAACTGAAAAGTCTCCCAGCCGTATCACAAGACAACATTAAAAAAAACACATTAATAAGCGTCTAACCAAGGAGAACATTCAGCCATGTGGTGTGATCATCCAAATGACATTTGTCACTTTTCAAGGACTAGAATTGAACTTACAATTTTTCACTTGATTGTCATAATAACTTCTGTTCATGTCTTTGAAATAAAGCCATTGTCACTGACAAGATTTTGGACTACTTCCATCTGGATGATCAAAGCATATGGTCATCTGTCACTCCTAGGATCCAGCAATGTATTACGATAAAAGTATAGAGAGTATAGTCCCAATGATATAATAGCCTTAATCACTAATGTAATGGCCTGTTAGTCTAAAACTTGATAGAAGTTCCACTTTGGAATATAAGAAAAGAATGCTTCATCATCTACATATCTTTTAGAAATACTGATACTTAAGACTAAAGTTTAGAAATGCATAACGAATATATAACTGAATTATATGGGAATGTTAAAACATCCAAACACACTACTCTACATTGAGTTTGGTGATAGTAAGTAACAGTGTACTGCAGTTCTCATCTTAAAATACGCATCTTACTAAAGATGATAAAACACTTATGATACAAAGTTCCAGAGTACCTGGTTAAAGGGGTTTTTGAAAGAGCTCTTGATTCCTCGATGGGACATCTTTAACCCTCTAACTCCCATAAGTGACCAAGACAGAACTTCTCCTTACAGCATTAATACAATATCAAACAGACAAGTTATGAGAATAAAGAAAAATATCAACAAGGTAAATATTGGTTGATCCAATACCAAATTCTCTAAATTAACATCAAAAGAGTTGTATGACAGACAGTAAGGAGAATTACTGATGAGATCTTGGGAGTGAAAGGGTTAAAGCTCTACATTTGAGTTAATATATGATTGAATGAAATAAACTACAACTCGATGACAGAAGCCTGAAGGGTGAAAAATTTGAGCTTAACCTTTTAACCCCATTAGAGTGACTAGCATCTAATTTCTCCTTACAATATCACCCTTGAATCACACATTAAGGTCATGAGAATAACGGAAATGATCAACAACTACAGAAGCTCTGGATCGTTCAGCAAATTCTCCTTGTCAGCACCTCAGGAAATGTATCAAGAACAGTATGGAGAACATGAATACTGATGTTAGGGTGTAAAGCTATGTTAAATTTGTGATGATATCGTGTGCAGGTGATCTACTTTATACAATCAAAGAGGGAATCGATGTGCCTGCCTAAATTTGTTCCTTCTCTCGCGGTATTATGAATTAATTATTATCCAGTCTTACTCAATATTGTAAATTTTATCAATCGTTTCTTTTCGCGACTATGGACCTGAACGACGTATTTTAAAGGAGCAGTAAGAAATAAAAACTAATGTCCTCCCTCGCTAAGTAGGAAGGTTACGGCCTCAGTTTTGCCATATGTTTTTGCGATTTTTAACGGTGTGCGACCTACAAAATCTGTTGAATTAATATTCAAACCAAGTGACAGAATTTTTGTGATGATGGCCACATTACCACCCTCTGAAGCGGCGTGCAGTGAATTTCTTCCTGACTGGTTTCTAATAGAGGGATAGGCTCCCTTGTCTAAAAGATAATTTACAGCTTCAATCTTGCCATAAGCTGCAGCCAACATCAACGGTGTACTTCCTTCACTATCTTCTGAATCGACACATAGACCACGTGACATTAGTGTCTCGATGATGGTGACATTACCACCCTGTGAAGCGGCGTGCAGAGAAGTTACTCCTGACTGGTTTCTAATAGAGGGATCGGCTCCCTTGTCTAAAAGATAATTTACAGCTTCAATCTTGCCAAAAGCTGCAGCCACCATCAATGGTGTACTACCTCCACTATCTTTTGAATCGACATTTAGACCACGTGACATTAGTTTCTCGATGATGGTGACATTACCACCCTGTGAAGCGGTGTGCAGTGAATTTCTTCCTAACTGGTTCCTAATAAAGGGACCGGCTCCATTGTCTAAAAGATAATTTACAGCTTTAGTCTTGCCACAAGCTGCAGCCACCATCAATGGCGTCCTTCCTCCACTATCTTTTAAATCGACATCTAGACCACGTGACATTAGTGTCTCGATGATTGCGACATTACCACCCTGTGAAGCGACGTGTAGTGAATTGTTTCCTAACTGGTCTCCAATACGGGGATCGGCTCCTTTGTTTAAAAGATAATTTACAGCTTCAATCTTGCCACAAGCTGCAGCCCACATCAATGGGGTAATTCCTATACTATCTTTTGAATCGACATGTAGACCACGTGACATTAGTGTCTCGATGATGGTGACATTACCACCCTGTGAAGCGACGTGTAGTGAATTGTTTCCTAACTGGTCTCCAATACGGGGATCGGCTCCTTTGTTTAAAAGATAATTTACAGCTTCAATCTTGCCACAAGCTGCAGCCCACATCAATGGGGTAATTCCTATACTATCTTTTGAATCGACATGTAGACCAAGTGACATTAGTGTCTCGATGATGGTGACATTACCACCCTGTGAAGCGGCGTGCAGTGAATTTATTCCTAACCAGTTTCTAATACAGAGGTCGGCTCCTCTGTCTAAAAGATAATTTACAGCTTCAATCTTGCCATAAGCTGCAGCCCACATCAATGGTGTCCTTCCTCCACTATCTTTTGAATCGACATCTAGACCACGTGACATTAGTGTCTCGATGATGGTGACATTACCATCCTGTGAAGCGGCGTGTAGTGAATTTCTTCCTGACTGGTCTCTAATACAGGGCTCGGCTCCATTGTCTAAAAGATAATTTACAGCTTCAATCTTGCCATAAGCTGCAGCCCACATCAATGGTGTCCTTCCTTCACTATCTTTTGAATCGACATCTAGACCACGTGACATTAGTGTCTCGATGATGGTGACATTACCACCCCGTGAAGCGGCGTGTAGTAAATTTATTCCTGACTGGTCTCTAATACAGGGATCGGCTCCTTTGTCTAAAAGATAATTTACAGCTTCAATCTTGCCATAAGCTGCAGCCCACATCAATGGTGTCCTTCCTCCACTATCTTTTGAATCGACATCTAGACCACGTGACATTAGTTTCTCGATGATGGTGACATAACCACCCTGTGAAGCATCATGTAGTGAATTTCTTCCTGACTGGTCTCTGATACAGGGATCGGCACCTTTGTCTAAAAGATAATTTACAGCTTCAATCTTGTCACAAGCTGCAGCCCACATCAATGGGGTACTTCCTCCACTATCTTTTAGATCGACATCTAGACCACGTGACATTAGTGTCTCGATGATGGTGACATTATCATCCATTGAGGCGACGTGCAGTGGACTAATGCCAGAGTGGCTTACAATAAAGGGATCAGCTCCTTTGTGTAAGAGGTAATTTACGGCATCTCTTTTGCCAGTCGAAGCAGCTAAAATCAAAGCCGTATTACCATCGTTATTTTTTGCGTTGATATCTATGCCATATGACAACATATCCTCGATGATGGCAAAGTTGCCAGTCTGCACAGCTGATGACAGTGAGTTCCAATCGTCGCCTGCTATCGTCTGAGTGTCACGTGTATCTGAAAAAAAAAAGATAAATGAAAACAAATTTCACAGCAGAAGAGACATCTCCGTATTTTGTAATAATAAGAACGTTTATACTCAATATATAAAAATAGATAGTCAAAGATTGCATTTGGCTTCTGATATAGAACAACTTTTAGAGCATTGGAAAGAACTAGAGGTTGTATAATGACGAAAGAATATAGTTTTGCTGGGGTTCGCTCAAAAGCCTTTTGGTTCCCCTATCCTCTGAGCCCCAACAATGTTACTTATGCTTCTTATTATTTAATTGCGATTCCATTTTTTGAGACATTTTTCTTCATACAAAACGGCATTCCGCGTTTTAGGATATTCCGTCATTATGCCGATCCACCGTTCTTCCATTCCATTTTTTAGTTATATAATTCAAGGTATCGTATCTCACAGCTTGCTCGCTTCGCAAATTGAGCGGCTCTATTCGGCATAATAATAATAATAATAATAATAATAATGATGATAATGGTAATAATAATAATAATAATAATAATAATAATAATAATAAATGATGATAATAATAATAATAATAATAATAATAATAACTGCGGGTGACAAGAGGAGCAAGCAATCCTAATCTGAACGTTGCCTTTATAAACGCATGCGGGCAGGTGTGTAGTTTGGCCCTGATTCGATTTTTGCTCAAATAGTGAGTCTACCACTAAGAATGTATGGAATGCAAAGAACGCTATTTTCTCAAGCGCATCATGTGTAATTTGGACCTTGGAACACGTGAAGCTAACGCATAGCAGCAGCGCCGACCAATCCAAATCAAGCGTGTCAATATCTGGATTCGACGTTTCCGTTCATATCGCGTTGAATGCCATTTCTCGGCCGCATTCCGCTTCAGGCGAGTAGCGAGAGTGTTGTTAGTCTGTTAGTCCTTGACCTCAAGCGTAGAGAGGGAGTTGTATCTGTTCGTCCTTTAATTCAAGCGTGGAGCGTCGGTATTGATCGTGCTTGACCTGACAAGCGTATAGTCTGAGATTGTTGTCTTTGATCTCATAGAAGCGTGGAGCGAGAGCGTTCTTCGTCCTTCAGTCCTTGGAACGGGATCGTTTATATATTACATTTTGGAATAATCTGAAATTTCTTCATATATTGGTCGTTTCGTTTCAGTAATAAATAAATAATTGTTGCATTACATCAACAATTTTGACTCGATCAATACGCGTATTTTATAACCTACAGTGATTTTCTTTACACCATGAAACAACAACAATTACAGCATATTACTAAAACTAAGCAAAACAAAACAATGGGACTAGTGTCTCGTGGAATGATCTAGTGTTGGTAACTGTTTCACAGGTTTATTAAAATTACCCTATTGTTAGTGTCAAAATAGAGGAAAAAGCGATTGGAGCATGGGGGGTGTCCTCATGGACTAAATCTTTCATTAACCAAATAGCCAAAAATGCATCGTCCTCGCCCGCATTTCCTAACCTTTGGTTATTACTAGTAATAATAATAATACTTAGCAAGGTAATTTGGTATTATCAACTGAGTTGATAAGTTTAACGTAAATCGGCCATCATTAAGGGTTTCAAAGCTGACGTTTCGAGCGTTAGCCCTTCGTCAGAGCGAATGAAGGAATTGTGGCTCCTGTGTGTGTTTCTATGCAGAAAATGGATCAACGCTCTTGGTGGGAACATGGTAACTAGCATAGATAAGTTGAACGAAAAGTGTTCGTTGATAACCTGGGACTAAGAGTGCCGATTTGAAAGATAACTTCTTTTTTTTTAGGGTTCTGCGGCATTCAAAGAATAAGTTCACCTTCTATACAGAACATTTCAAACACGGTTTCCAGCATTTCACGAAGAATGATAACGGTTTTTCTTGCTGTCATCACAACAAGATCAAAAACTAAACAAGAACAGAATGATAGCTTTTTACATAGATTCTAAGGGTATAAAGCATTTCTGTAAACTTTTAACTAAGTCACGTGATTTCTTACATTTCAATTTTGATCGTTTGACTGATCGATGTAAACCAAAATATAATGAAATGTACATGTATTCTTGAGACATGGTTGAGTCAATCTTGATATGACATTTAAATATCGCATTGGATTGATTGACTTAACCATCACTATTGGGCAGTCGTTTTGAATTCGATGAATATCAATAGAAATAAATAAACTATTGGTTTGGTGGTGTTTGTTGGATCCGGAGTGACTGCCTAGCAGTGTCTGAGATATATTGCTGTATTATTTAAAAGGAGTTGAACATATTTTTCATATTTTTAAATAAATTTATAAATGTTATTATATATTAATATTTTTTTACGTTATATTATTGTAACACGACCCCACAAACCTCTAGCTTTAAATACTTATCGTGTTTAAATAAAGTTTTATTATTATTATTATTATTATTATTATTATTATCAAAGAAACTAAGCTTGGTAATTTTGACTTTTCGATACTGACCAACCATTTCCACGTCAAATTCAGATGGTGCTCCTTCAGTTCCCATACCGCTGTCAGATGCTTCAGACATAAAACTTTCCGTCTCAAACAGTAGACTTTCCACGTACATTTTGGTAAAATTCCATTTGTGTTCGTCAATACCCCGTGGCTTGTCTGCGAGCCTTTCGTAACTGGCATTCTGAACTAAACAAAACATAAAGAAACAACATGTTTTTGCCTAAAAATGTCATTTTAAAGTAGGAATGCATTTATGTGTTGAGAAGCTTTTAGGATGTTTAACAGTTTGCAGTGGGAGCAGGTTGAAGATAGAAAAACTTTAAGAAATAAACTATGGCGCTCCTCGCAAGCTTTCCGCGAGCGGTCGAGGTATAATCAAGAGAATACAAACAATCTCTTGGTATAATCTACTCTCGCTTTTATCAATTTAATCATCAAATTTTCCGCGCACATGTACATGACTAATTTGATATATTAAAAGGCTAGAATGTCTAAATACATTGTCTTTGAAAAGCCTTTGTAAGGAAGGTCAGTAAAGCACAGATATTTGCGAGTATGTAAGGAATGAAATCTCAAAAGACCTGATCTGTTTCAATTCAGTTGTAAACATTTCTAACGAATCTCAGATTTTCTTTCGTTGGAGGAATTTGGTTATGACACGAAAAATTTTACCTGACTACCCCCCCCCCCAAAAAAAAGCTCTGTTATCTTCTTATGACCCCCCTTCCCTTGGTGGCAGTAAAATGGAAGATAATTTTCTACAGTCCCCCCCTTTTATATCATGTTGGTTATGACTGATACCCCATGAAAACCATGTGTTCCCCCCCAAGAAAATTCTCCACTAATTAAGAATAACCTTTCAAGTAAAATGCAGTCTATTTTAATCTTCCGAAATCAATGTTAATAGTATTTTTGAGCTTGAGTATTTTCACAATAATGGGTCTGTCATGGCATAAAATAGCGTTTTCGTTTTTCCTCGGTTTTATCATACCTATACCTATGTATTTAGCAGTTAACCTGTATTAAGCGGCAATCCCGTCATTCCCCGGTTTGACTGTATATATTTCATCTAGCTTAACTTGAGTGTTTGCATAATTTAGCTACCTTCCTCTGTTGGAATTATTCCCGTGGCCATTCTTGTCTCCAAAAACACAAATGGAAGCCTAATCATTTGTTTCTCTTGAATCTCCGCTCTCTCCTTTAGAAGTTGGACATCATTATCTAGTCTTTTCACTTTTATTAGCAATGTTTCATCTTCGTTCGACGTTGTTGATATCATTGAATCAGTGCGTTGGCGTTTGCGTTTCCTTCCTGTCAAAATAGACAATAGACAATTTGGTTCTTTCAAATGAGGTGATAATTTGAACTGCAGGCCACCGTATAGAGTTTCTTAAGCTGACGCTTGGCTGCCAAGTGAGCAAATATTAGTGTTCTAAATTTGCACCACATTTGCTACACTGCAAAAAAAATATGTAAATATGCTGATTTGCTGTTACGGTGTTAATTTGCTTCATCCATGCGCATAGGGCAAATTTTTAAAAATGACAGGAATTTGCGTAAACATTACACTCTTTGCAGAAATAATAGTTTGTCTCGGAGTGCAAAACCAGTCAAATCAGTTGTACGAAACTTATTTTTACTGCTACGTTTGAATACCTTTGTTCGAGGGATGCAAATGTATATCTTTGCCAATAGTTTGCTCTAAATTAATCTAAGAGCAAGAATTGATTTACATACATACATATTATACTCGCTCATCAACGTCACAATTCTTTAGCGTTAAGTACTCTAGGCTTAAAATGAAAAAAAAAAGCCTTTTCGCGTGTTGGTGTCAAAGTCTGGAATGAGATGCCTAATGAATACAAAAATTTGTCAAAGAAATCCTTCAAAAAAGAAACAAAAAGAGCTCTTCTCAATATTCTAGAAACTGAAGATTCTTATATGGAGCCTGATGAGATAATGCTAAAATTCAAACACAGCAAAATTGAATCAAATTAAACCAGTTCTACAATATTTTTCGTACACTTAGAAACGCTAGGATTTTTTTCTCCTTCACAATGAACATCTGCCATTTTCCTTTTTTTCTATTTTTCTTTTTTTTTGCGTATCTTTTTGTCCTGTTATGTTATATTTCTTCATTTTCATTTTATTTCTAGTGCAATTAAATGAAGTCAGTAAAAAATAAATAAATAAACAAATTTGACCCGCCTCGATTAGCATTTGCTATCCGCGGGTCAAAGGAATATCTTGTAATATGTAAGAAAATGAAAAATAAAAGTGTGAAGTGTGAAAAGTGTGATTTACTATGAGTTTATAACGATGTCAAATCTCCGGAAATAACGTCCATTCATGCAAAAAAACTTCCTTGCAAATAAGGAATATTGCCTTGGTGTACAAACGAGGGCCAATTCAATGCGAAATTACCATTTTGTTTGATGCTACAATTGGATATGATTCCTCAAGGAAAGCATCTGTTCACCGCAAAAAAAACCTACACCGGCTGATTATAAAAAGAGTTCTGGTACATCTATTAATTCCAATTTATCTCTTTGGGTATTTAACCGAATAAAATCTCGCTAATTAGTCCGTAACTAATTAACAGTGTTCACTAAAATACTATTACGTGTTACATATAAAGTTGTGTACAGTTGTGCACCTCAAAGTAAAAAAATCAAGTTATTAGTATCTGCATGGACTGCACAAATACATGTCCACTTTGCGTTTGAATTATTGTTGAGTCAACGGCTCAGTTTGAAATCTAATCGCTCTGACGAAGGGCTAACGCTCGAAACGTCAGCTTTTTTACCCTTTACGGTGGCTAATTTACGTTTTCAACCCAGTTGTTAACACTAAATTACCTGCTCAGTTTGAAAGACCGCCCGAAGCTCAGAAAAGCAACCAGCCGTAAAGAACTGATTTGTTAAAGATCTAAATACACAAGTCGAAAGTCTCACGTGAAAGCAACCCGCAAAATGGTACCGAAGGCCGACAAGATCAGCAGCGAAAAGTTTTTCAAGTGTATGGAGGCCTTAGTACAATAATCGAAGAGAATCCCCGAAGCATGGTTACAGATCGAATACTCAAATAAATTCACAATGCAGAGTAAATTTGAATAAGTATCGATGCTTTAACCACGATGCTTTGATCTTTCAAACGTGCGCAAACCTACATGCATACTTATGTTTGGACCGCAAACACAAACCGAAGCAAAATTGTCCAGAATTGATACTTTGCACACATGAAAAACCTAGCGAAGTTCATTGTTGATATTTTACGCAAATTTACTACTCTAGTAAACGGGTTCAATGACGATGATTTGGCAGCATTTGCAAACCACTGTAAACTTATTCAAAGTTAACAGTTTGAACATATTTGCTTACCTAAGCAAACTTGTATGCTGTCCAAAGTTTGCACCTATTTTGCTACCTCAGAAAAACGTCGGCAAAAATATAAATTTTACCACATGTTTTCGAAGGGTATAAAGTAAGGTCAACTGCTTAACAGCGCTCAACATTTAGCACGTAAGCAAATATGACGCTAGGATGATCTTTACCACTGAGCAAAAATTAGCAAACTCAGGAAAAAGTGAAATTTGTTTCATATTTGTTCAACGTTTGCAACCCAGGCAAATCCATTTTTTTCGTCCGGTGTTCATTACAACGAATAGAGTACGGGTCATGATAATTAAAACACTTATTTGAAGACAGAGTGAAAACTGATTTGTGATATAGTTAAATATCTTACCGGAAAATGATCCTTTTGAACTAATTTTATGCGTTACCTGCAGAGTTCACTAGCTTAGTTACCTTTGCCTTCATTATTTAGATCATTGTAAGCTCTCATGTATTCTTCTTCCTCAATTGTTACTGTTAGTTCAACATTCTCTTTAGCTTCAGCAAGAAGCTTAACTTTCTCAGTCACCAAGAAGTCGTGCAGGCGTGCCTTGAGTGTGCCGTCCTGGTACATAGTCCACAAGGAGTTGAGCCCCTTTAAACTGCTTGCCTGAACTGTGAAGCAGACACACCCTCCACCCATGTCGGCGAGTTCTGTATCAGCGGGAAGAACCTGGTCAACAAAGCTTCTAAAAAACTGACCAATAGACTCCCAGTTGACCAAAATTTCAGCGAAAGTTAGCGCTTTTCGACTAACAAGAAGCCACGTCTTTAAGGGAACTAGTGAAAATAAAATTGAAAAAAAAATAAAAAAAATAAAAAAAGAAAGGTTAATTTTGAGAAGAAATCTCCTACCAAATTTCAATCAAAGAACGAACGTTTCCTTGGTAATCTTTTTGGTCACTCCAATGCGAAGGTATCATCTTCAACATCGTCATCATCATGAAATTTGATAGTAGTTCAGGAATAGGAGTCGAATTCGATGGTATGGAAAGAAATGAACGAAGACAATGCAGCTAAAAAACTATTTTTCAGTTAAGATCGGTGTTGCCCACTTCTGTGCTAGTCAGAATATGTTACTGATGTTTATGATGCAGATGATGGAGATAAGAAATATGTGTATGGCCATTGGTTTGTGTAGATCTTATCCTCGCAAATTAACTGTGCTTTATAATAAAGTTCGGATATAACGAATGCTGTCATTGGTTGAAAGAGCGTCCTCTAGAGGAGTATAGAGCATAGAACTGAGCTAAAGCTGTCACGTCATCTGCCAAATTGTACTATGTCCAACCTTTTCCGGAACTTCTCTCTTGCTTTTTTTCGTTAATTGAAAGTGAAATTTCGGAACAAGCGAGCCGACAAGTAGCATCAGAAGAACAAAAAAAATTGTTTGTAAACATGCCAGGCGCCGTAATTTACGTTATTATAACGTGAGCAGAGACCAAAATCCTCAAAATAAAAATCGCTAAGTGTGTTGGCGCACTCAAGATGAAAACATGCGTTGAATCACTACAAAAACGAACTAATTTTCAATATACAGAATTCTCATCAATTATTGGATTGGTCCCTACCGACAGAAGAAATATTTTAGATACACGGCGAAAGTCGGCCGGTGGCAAATCTTTTAGTCGTTAATTTTCGTTCTAAGCCGCGAGAAATGCCATTACCAAAGCCCCTGAATTATACCTAACTTTCGGTTTTTCTTTTCGTATTTTGGTTTTCTCCCCCTTCTAGGAAAGTTTGAACGTCACTGTCCGTAAGCGATACGGATTTTTCAGTGTTTCAGCAGCCATAATCCGAAAAAATTCCAACAAACGACCATGGATTGAGAACGGCGGAGGTTTTGCCTGTCATTCATCAACCTGACCGAGTGGCACGAAATTGGAGTGACGTGTAAGCAGCTGATTGGCAATATCAAATACTCGTTTAAAAAATATCGTATTTTTTCACGTGTGTTGTTACGGCTTTTCTCAGGGTTGGAAATCCTTGTATAACACCGTAGTTTATATATGATGAATAATCAAGTGAATACAGTCTTTGCAAGAACTTTATGCGACAAATTCCCAATTCTAAAAGCCGTCGGTGGCTTTAGTATCTTTTCCTTAACTGGAGAGAGATTTTCATGTTAACTACCTCAAATATAAATTAATGAGATTTGGGACAAACTCTTCAACCCTTTGAGAGAGTTTAGAGACATGAAATGAGTTAGGGCGAACATTCCTTACCACCAGGACAGTGGCTTCGAAAAAGATTATAGAGAATCTGAAACGGATTCAATTCTCAGAGGATGCCGCAATTAACTCTTTCTTGTTAAGACGTTTGGCCTGATAGCCACACTTCTTAGTGAAGTGGGAATTACAAGCAAACAATCCACTGAGCAACCAAATTACACTACTATTCTATCCCCAGGACCAAACATTTGTATGCAACCTTGAGATCACGCATGAAATTAGCACAGCTGCCTTCAGACCAAGCTTAGCAAACACTGAAGCTGGAAAAGGAGTAAAAAAATATACAACAACAAAGGTTCTCTTTACATGCAATCAACTCTCCTATACAGTTTATTCATCTAACCGTATTTACTAGGCACTACTGAATGCCTCATCTAGGCAAGCTCTTTCTTAAACATTTAGATATATATAGTACTGTTCTTAAACTCATGAGAACACGCGATCAAGTACACGGGGGGGCAAGAGAGTCGCGGCTGTCTTCGGATTGGAATGAATATAAATCCCCTCGCTATGAACAGGAAAGCCAGGAAGAAATATTTTAGAAATAAGGTCGAGGAAAACCGCAGTAAGCCCAAGGCCTTTTGGGCCACATCACGTCAAGTCTTGCCCTCTAAGAAAAACTGCTCTTGAGATTAACAAATTAGTGGTCAATGGTGAAGAGCTAATCGACAAGCGTTACATCGCAAATCACTGAACAAGTTTTTTACAACAATTGCTTCCTCGATGTTAGCTAGTCAGCAGTCCCACGGTTACCCAGTTGAGCTACAACAGGCGAGCCCTTTAACGGTTCCCAGTCACAGCTTCATCTTTCGTGCCGTGAGTGAAAACGACGTTTTCAAGGCTCTCCGAACCATGGACATATCTAAGGCTACAGGTGCAGACACCATTCCAGCCAAAGTCATTAGAACTGCTGCACCATACATTAGCAATGTTGTAGCTAAGTTATTCAACACATCCTTCAGATGCGGCCGCTTTCCGTCCACCTGGAAAACGGCAAGAGTAACTACTTTTTTTAATGGAGGGCCCCAGACTGAACGTGATAATTACAGACCAATTTCCATTCCTCCCTGTATCTCAGAAGTGCATGAATCGTTTGTGCTATCTGTGATATCTATCTTTGTTAGACTATGGTTGTAATGTATGGGCGAATGTAGCAAAGCAAATGTCCAACGCTTAGAGCGCCTGCAAAACCAAGAATGCGAATAATATTGCATGCTGGCCGTAAGACATGTACTTAGGAGATGCGCGCTAAATTGCAATTGTTATCACTGCACAGTAGACGCCTTTTTATCAAGCTATAGTATGTTTAAAAGATTATTAACAACATTAACTGCCCTAAGCAGTTGACAGTTACTTAATGAAACGATCACAAAGACATTGTCGATCCTTCAGAGATCCAACATTATTAGATCTACCGCCGGCCACACGTTAAGACTAAATGTGGACAGACCTCGTTTGAATTCTCGGCTGCGTGTGCCTGGAACAAAGTGTCAGGAGATATACATGAGCTCACAACACTTGCACAGTTTAAGGGCAAAACATTTACTTACCTGATAAACATCTCCAATTCTCTTTTTTCGCGTCGCCGCAATCCAAAAATGATTTTTGGCCAGTACACCCGTGTGGACAGCGATCGAAAGTGTAAGTTTCACAGATTTTATCCAGCGCGCCATCGCCCAGAATGCTATTGTCTTTCGCGACATGTACTTGCAGTGCCCATTTAATCAGCGGGCAGCATAATAATTTGCATATCCTGAACTAGTCGGTCGTGATTGGTCAGCAGGTAAAGCTTTGAGAGTAAGTGAGTCTCTTGACAGATTTCAGCTGCTGTCAATCAAACGGTTGGATGCGTAAAGTAAATCCCAAGGTGACATAAAGTGAACAATAGCAATAATTAACAATAGCCACGCTCTTAACAAAGCGTTCAGCAAATTCGTTTGCAGCGAATTCTTATATGGACTGACAGACTCCCGTTGGTCAAAATGTTATCGGGATTATAAAAATTAGTATCATGAAAATAGGACATAGAAAAATTTAGAAAATAGTGTCATGAAGAATAGGCGGTTTGAAAAGCGTAACTTGTAATCAGACGGTTTTCGAGTGTGAAAGGCTTGCGGTTGCGGACTGACAACAAAAAAAACGCCTGATTGAAGGTTATAAAAAGCAATGTTCAGAAAGCCAGCTAATCTTTGGTCAAATGAAATTTTAGTTTCATTCAATCTTTGTCTTAATTGTGGTTTTGGCGAGCCCCCGTATAGTGGATCGTAGCCATTTACTAAAGGTGCAGACATGTGAATGAAGGCAGGGTTGATCGGGGATTCTGTGAGCTCTAAAGAGAGCTCCCGATCAACGCGCTGCATTTCTTGCTCGGAAAACATTTCAATATCTGGACGGTATGAGGCACAATTGTGATCTGATGATAGGGTGTGTTAACAAAGATGTTTATAACTCTTCAATTTAAATTTGGCGCACATGTGTGACATGACAAAGCTTCTTAACAATGCTTCGTCAGGCGAAAGTGCGTCCTATTTTCTACAGAGGTGGGGCAAAAACTCTCCTGGAACTCTCTTGGGAGTCCAAAGGGAACAACTTTCGAGGGCTTTTAGGACATTTCGGTGTAGCTTTTGGAGATGATCTTTTTGATAACACTTGTGACCATCGTATTAACGCGAAATTCCACCAAATCTTAGTTGAGATATCAAACTTACTTTACCAGAGGGTACCTAAGTCACGAAGTACTTTTGTGGAGGAAAAAATCAATCTGAATACTAATCAGTTCATATTCCATACGAATGCTGAGCGAAACGGTCGCATTTTCAAGATCACTTTGATAAAACTTATCGAAGACCAACGACTTGGATGAGCGTCTTAAATAAAAGCTGAACACAAAAGCCAGAGGGTATCTTATCGCTAAGTGGGCTAAGTTGTGTAAAAATTGGTAAAACACACTAGGCATTAGGCCGTTTTCGGCCATTTTCTTTATTGTTTCGCCTGTTTTTCAATTACGAGAATTCAAATTTAGCGCTATTGGCTACGCAAAAGGTCCCGGATGTGTCGCGGCATTCTGGGCGATAGCAGCGACTGCAATAATATAGCTCACGGAATTTTATCTTGCTACAAGTTACAAGGTGCCTTCAATTAGTTCACAGACAAAATATAGAAACTTCAGCTGAAATATTTTTCTTACAAGCGTGATCAAAGGAGAGCCTTCTCTTCGACCTTTATTTGCAAATCAAAATTCACCTATTTGTACGAAAGAAATCTCAAAATGCAGGCGTCAATTGGGCTAAAAAAGCATATCAGTGTATAGTTTATACACCAATGAGGTCACCGATTGCCTCAAACCGGCGGGTATATCTGTAGCTTTCATCCACCAACATCTTAAAAACAACGCAAATCCATGTGTTTGCTCAATTGCGCTCGTGTCAATGATTATTTGCTTTTCTGAAACTCGACGAAGATCTCCTTTTGAACGTTCAAACTTCGTTTGTTTATCCTCTACGTTAAGGATTTCAGGTTTTCATTACAACTGAATGGAGAATAGATGCCGAGTTGTCCTAAAACGTTGCGCAAACGTGATCGGTCGTAACGCTTGCGCGCTTGTGTGACTTAGAAAGTAAACAAAGGTGATCGAAAGGCGCCTTCTCGATAATTTTCGTTAAAATATCTGTTCACCAACTACGCACTGTGTGGAGAAGATCAAAAGGACGCACGAACAAGTTGAAATACGTTACAGTGTTATTCACCAAGACAACACGCATTCACTCTGAAAGAATTATTATAGTTTCTTCCAAGATTTTGCAAACGGAACGCGATGAACTAGCCCTCCTTTCTGCAAATTTATTTTCATAATTTTACGGTCTTATGGACCACTACGGTTTTGACCGACAAACTCGACATTTCCTTGTGACCGTCAACTTGATGTGTTGCGTGGCGTGATCGTGCACATTTCTCCCTTGTCACATGACCCATATCGCGGAACCAAAATTAATTAAAAATCAAAGTGCTCTGTGAGCAAACTCGTGAATTGACACATGATTTTTTGGATTATGTTGGGATAAGAAGGCATTACAATTGAAATGATCATGCTATGACATTTGACCAGGGTAGATGATGTCATGTGTTTTAAACATATATCATTTTTGTTTCTGCTTCAAAAGAAAAGGTTGGAAACAAATGTGGGTGTCGGAAACTCGATAATAGCATAGGGCTTTTAATGTTTTTTTTGTCCCGAACTGCCAATCTTTGAAGGTGTTTATTTTTATCTGAATGGCAAAGATCACGTTATTCCACGTGTTATTGTGAAATAGAGTACGTTTGTTATTTTTCTGTCAGCAATATCGTTTTAGCCAATCAGCTCATGTTTATTCAAGGTGTGCCATAGATTAGGGTTCGCTCGATTGATGCCAGTGAGAGGTGGATTATTTTTGTAGGAGAAAAGGAAAAACTGTGGTTAAAAAACCTGAAAGTGAAGACTGAGGAAGTTGTGGGCCTTCTTAACCTATTCCCCACATGGGTGAAAAGTGAAATTTACCGTCTATTCCCTCTGTTCCTCAAATGAGACAAACGGGAACGGGTTTTGAGTGATATAACTAAGCCCAGACTGCCACCGTCATTTTCGATTTCCGCCTGGGTAGATTTTGGTCACGTAGGCAACGTATAATCAACAAGAAGATGGAATTTCATTTCAGGCCTATTTATCAATTTGTAGCGTATAACTTTCGCATGTTAGTACGTGGCATTTATTTTGAATCTTCAAATTGTCTTGAAACTTAAAAGAAAATTGTTCTTTAAAAATTCCCTGAAAATCGGTAACCAAAATTATTTGTCTTGGTGCTATTTGATTTTCGCGTTAATCTGTAATTTCGTCAGTCGCCGGCACCTTCTGTTACTTCACGCAGAAAAAACACACGATACGAAATGTAATGATCGATCTTGTCCCCAATCTCACGCCATAACAGAAAAAGCTTTTGAACACCTGTAGACTCCGAGCGCTTTGGAGTAAGTGATATTTTTAATGAATCTTCGGATTGTTTCAAGGTCAAGGAATCTAAATTATAATTTTATGAAAAACAAGGTTGTTCTATTATTTCAGTGTGAACCCTCGCACGCCTGCCAGTCGCTAGCGCTGCTTGTTGAAACTAAAACGAAAAAAAATAAATTCTTTTAAGATTATCATTGGCTTCTTTTTCACCTCACCGCTGTTCTTAGCACCAAAGGTCGCCATTTCGTTTGTTTATTACCAGCCAAAAACTATCAAATACACTCAAAAGCCTAAAGTCGAAAAAAAAATTTACAGGAATGGACCAATCGAGCGAGCGAGCGAGTGCCATTCTCCACATCATATCTACAACTCGCTCTCGCGCATGCGCGCAATTCACGAGTTAAAAATTAAAGTTAATGTAACGAACGAGTCGAAGGTTATGAAAATTGACTGTAGAATTTTACATTTTACTAAGAATCTTATCTTTTAAAATGTTTTCTTGATTCATGAAAAGCAAACATTGTAGTGGCTGCGGGTATTTCAGCCCTGATTTCTCTCCTGGAATGCCGAGACGACGTATCGAGTCATTTGAAGTACTACCAGCTATCCAGCGAAATCTTCGAGTACAAGTTAAGTTTGTTTTGGTCTGGTCATTAGGGCCCCGATATGGAAAAAATAGAACAGTTATTGGAATGTGCTAAACATCGGAACATTTTCGGAAACATTGGAAATGCGGCGAAAGTACTTGTTAGCACCCAGAGCACCAGGGAAAATGTGAGGCAGTGAGAGAAAGCCAGACTTACTGGAGATGTTTTCGAAGTTTTCGGAAACATAGTTGTAGTCGGATCAGCTTCGGATCACACGAGTAATATATTTTTAATTTCTCGAATGTGAAGGCTATTATTTCATATCAAACTTATGTTTAACATCTGCCTCTGTAGATTTTCGTGACATGTCACGCAGTCTAAGGTCAGTCAAAAACACGCTAATTTTCGAACATTTTCCTCTTTTTCGTGTATTTCATTTGAATTGCTATCTTTCTTACCTTCAGTTTCTAAAACTAACGTACATAAGCTTTCTATACCACTGCATTTGAAGGCAATCATTAAAATATTTCGTTCGGGTTTTTGAGACTTATGGTTAGCGATTCAGACATGTCGAAGAGGGGTTCACACCACATGCAAGCAGTGGCCATGGAGTCTGGGGCTATAACCTTAAAGCGCATGCCTATAACTGGTCATTACCGCGAAATACGAAAAAAACAATAAATTTGGCGCAATTCTCAACGTCTTCAGGAAAAAGATTTCTCTCCTCCACTCAGCGTTCAAGAAAGCGTCAAAAAGTGGGGGGAAAAGTATAAAGAAGCTTATTGATGCGTGGAAGGCAAAAAACTACTCCTTCAAAATTTTCTATCATGAGCTCGAAAACAACTCATTGATTGAGGAAAACCAACAGCTTCGTGGGCAGAAAAGGAAAGCTGAACTGGATTTAGCCGCAGAGCAGGCTAAGCGATTAAAAATTGAGCAGGAGCTTGAAGATGTTATTAGGGATTCGGAAAACAGAAAAGAACAATACAAACAAAAATTCAAAAGATTAGCGAAAAAAGCAGCAAGAATGCAAAAAAAGGGACAAAGAGGTCCAAACAAAAGCAAACGTTTCACTGATTATACCAAACAACATCAGGCAAGATTAAGGCGAGGATTTAAAGAAGACTGCCACTCAGCACTGTCATTTTTAGGCCTCTATAATTTTATTGCCACCAAGATTGAGGTATTTAATAATGACACTCAACAATATGAAACTATTTCATTGGTAGAAGAGGGAGAGTTACAATTGGAAACAGAGCCAAGAGAACTGACTGACAATGATATTGATGACATCAATATGTGGGTTTACTTGAAGGACAAATTCAATATATCTAATGAAGCTTGGCATGAGTTGGCCATGAAGTGTAAAGACATACCCACAAAATATAAAATATGCAAACACCTAGATAAGCTCAATGCCAATTGGAATCTGAGAAGTACACCAGGGGAGGCAGAGGGAGTACAGATTTCTTTCAGGGAGAGTCTTGAGGAACAGATAAAAAGGCTGCAGAAAAATGGAGTATTGGAAAAGGTTACTACTATTAAAGTAAAGCTCAGTGGTGATGGTACCAACATTGGGAAAAGGCTTAAACTTGAAAATGTGACATACACAATTTTGAATGAAAAGGATGCAGCAATGAATGAAAAAGGGAACTATGTTCTAGCAAAAATTAAGACAACAGAGAACTATGACAATCTTAAAGAAAGCCTTGCTGATCTAAATAATGAAATGTCAAATTTAAAAGAAATAACTGTAAATAGTCATAAGTATAGCATTGAGTATTTTTTGGGAGGAGACTGGAAGTTTCTAGCCTGTGTTTGTGGTTTAGGGGCTGCTAATCAAAATTTCTCTTGTATTTGGCATAAGTGCCCAAGAAATGAAAGGTTTGACATCAGTAAAAAGTGGTCTATAACTGAAAAATCTCTTGGTGCAAGAGATTTACAAGAAATAGGTAAGTATGCAAAATATAAGCAATATAATTGTAAAACTAATCCATTATTTGATTTTATTCCTATAGACCATGTAATAATTGATACTCTACATTTATTTTTGAGAATATCTGATAATTTAATTGAACTTCTGATCAGGGAACTTCACAGGAAAGATGCCATTGACAAGGTATCTACTTTTTCAAATGGGTTTTGTCGAAATAAGTATAGACATATGGCTGGGTATGAGAAATTTGTAAAAGAACTTGGAATTAATTTTGAATGGAAAATTAATAGGGACAGCAAGAAGTTGGAGTACAGAGACCTTACTGGACCTGAAAAACTCTTGCTTTTCCAACATATCAATTTTCACTTACTATTACCAGAGTTTCATAATGTGGACAAGCTGCAAGCCCTTTGGGATAATTTCATAGATATTATGGGTGATCTTAAACTTAATTACACTACAGATGATGCTATCTCTAGCCTCAAAGACAAAATCAAAAAATGGTTTCAAAAATTCTTAGACCTTTACCAAGCAAAAGATGTAACACCATATATGCATTCTTTGTATGCTCATGTACCTGAATTTTTAAAGCTCTACCAA